TAACATTAAGTAAAACACTAACAAGTCTTCCCTTGAAATCTTCATATCATGCTGAATGTCTGTTATTTCTCTGGTGAGCTTCCCCAGGGGTTCACTTTTATTCTTGATACTGTTCATATTAATGGTTCAGCTTACACCCACTGGACCTCAGAGGATGCCTTTTTTCCACCCTCCATTATCCATTTTTCAGTGTCTGGAGTGCTGGACCCCTTCTTGTCTGCTTCCTGAATAAAAAAAAGCTTCCCCAGGGGTTCACTTTTATTCTTGATACTGTTCATATTAATGGTTCAGCTTACACCCACTGGACCTCAGAGGATGCCTTTTTTCCACCCTCCATTATCCATTTTTCAGTGTCTGGAGTGCTGGACCCCTTCTTGTCTGCTTCCTGAATAAAAAAATGTAGCCAGAGCTAATTCAGTCTAATTTAGATGGACTTATTTTTCCAGAATTCAGGAGTCCCTTTTCTGAATACTTTTTGATCTTTCCATGTTCTTCTTTAAGCACACAAAATAGAACTGGAGACAATAATGCTGTGACAGAGGAAATTTTTTTTTCTCTTTTTTTTTTCCTCCCCTCCCTCCCCCTTTGAACCCCTGCATTTCATCCTCCCAGTTGTCAGGTAAACAAACACTTTTCCTACACACACTGACACAGAAAACACCCATCAACAAAGCATGCCTAAACACATATGGACTCAGTCTTACTCACAGTTATGGTTTATATCCTTTCTCTTATGGTAAATGCTGTGGTTAAAAAAAAAAAAAAAGAAAAAAAAAAAAAAAAAAATCCAGGGGAAAAGAAGTTTTTTTTTTTTTTTTTTTTTGTGGTTTTTTTTTTTTTGTTTGTTTGGTTGGTTGGTTTTTTTTTGTTGGTTTTGTTGGGTTTTTTTGTTTTGGTTTGGTTTGGTTTTGTTTTTGTTTTTTCAGAAGTCAGCTTACAAGCTTTAAAATCAGGCTTGTAGACTTCTCTCTGTGTAATAAAAACCCTGAGAAATCCAGGGGAATTCAGAACTACTGTCTTTTAAAAAGACATCTCTGTTATATTCAGCAAGTTTTTTTAATCTAATCCCCTATTTTAGAATGTAAAAATGCAAAGAGAAGTGCTTTAACCTCTTGACCAGATGTAATGTTGACTCTGGAGAAACCAAGTAGAAAGGGGAACAAGAATACTATGGCTTAAGTCCTGAAAATCAAAGTGAAGAATTTATGTCAATGTTTGGGATGATGTGTACAGGAATAGACCTGCTATCAAGTAACCATGAAAATGAAGATAGATTATTCATCTTACTTGGCTGAGAAATTTGAAATTAGGAAAATGATGCCTAATATTTTTTTCAACTAGGACAACAAGGCTGTAAAATTATGTAGGTGCTGACTCCAATCTTTGCATTAGCTCAGCATAATAGACCTGGTGCAGTACTTGAGACACAACATTTGAAAGGAGTGCATGAAATTTATATCTTGAAGAAATTGCATTCATAGTTCCATTCAAATCCATTTCTCCACATGCATAAATGATAGACTAAATAGCATTGTCCATTGCAAAAACTCACTTTGGCTCAGATGAAGAATGAGATTGAAGCAATATTTTAAATCTAGGTTTGGAATCCTATACTGCACATCACTGTGGTTTTAGGTGAAGTATTTTCAAGGTGACAGGTAGAAAAAGGAGATGTTTTCTGTGTAAGGTATATACTCTTATTTGTCAAACCTGCATCAACCATGTTTGATATCTCTCTGGCTACATTTACACTATCAAACAACTTAGGTCCCCAGTTCATTCCTGGATCTCTGTTCCCTCACAGTGCATGTTGCATAAATTTTCAATTGCTGCTAAACTATTATTCTGAGATCTCTAATTGTATTATAATATTGACTACAGGTGGGTAGATGGATAGATATAAAATGCTATCTGTATTTAAAAGCTATGGCAGTACCACGAGATGCTCTATGCTACATCATATCAGAAGTGTCAAGCTTTCCCTGAAAGACACTCCACCTGAGCAGAGCAGATGCAATCATTCTGCATCACTTGGCTGAGGATCCTGCTGTCAGCCTCTGTGTCAGTATCACACAATGCTTGCTTTGCAGAAATAGCTCATCTGGCCCTGTTTTGACAGGAGAGTGAGGTGATATCACAGAGATTAATGGCTTTTTCGCTTAGATCCTAAATTAAAAAATGTCACACCTTTTCATTCTGGAAAGTGTGAACAATTAAAACAGGAAGACCATGCTTTGTTATTTATCTCTATTTTTCTTCCCATCAGAGATAGCAACTACCATGTCCCCTGCAAGATTTTCTCTTAACATGGCTAGTGAAAGCACAGCCGGAGATACTAGTGAGGAATGTACATCTTGCAGTAAGAAGTCCATTAATTAATCAGGGCCATAGCAATGACTGACAGTGTTTCAAGTTTTTCAGAGTAAAACTATTTCACTAAAAGTTCCATAATCCTAGATAAAGTGAAAGGCCTGATATTTGATAAAAACATAGAAGTTAACAACTTCCAAGTTTAAGTAAGGGAAGATACAAATTTGAGAACATTATGTACTAAGAGTAAAAAACATAGATGAAAACTATGCCCAGAAATATTGTTATACTCACTGATTTAGGAATAGCCAGCTGAGGTTAATCACAACAACTCCATCACCTGAAATCAGAGAATAACATTAAGTAAAACACTAACAAGTCTTCCCTTGAAATCTTCATATCATGCTGAATGTCTGTTATTTCTCTGGTGAGCTTCCCCAGGGGTTCACTTTTATTCTTGATACTGTTCATATTAATGGTTCAGCTTACACCCACTGGACCTCAGAGGATGCCTTTTTTCCACCCTCCATTATCCATTTTTCAGTGTCTGGAGTGCTGGACCCCTTCTTGTCTGCTTCCTGAATAAAAAAATGTAGCCAGAGCTAATTCAGTCTAATTTAGATGGACTTATTTTTCCAGAATTCAGGAGTCCCTTTTCTGAATACTTTTTGATCTTTCCATGTTCTTCTTTAAGCACACAAAATAGAACTGGAGACAATAATGCTGTGACAGAGGGAATTTTTTTTTCTCTTTTTTTTTTCCTCCCCTCCCTCCCCCTTTGAACCCCTGCATTTCATCCTCCCAGTTGTCAGGTAAACAAACACTTTTCCTACACACACTGACACAGAAAACACCCATCAACAAAGCATGCCTAAACACATATGGACTCAGTCTTACTCACAGTTATGGTTTATATCCTTTCTCTTATGGTAAATGCTGTGGTTAAAAAAAAAAAAAAAGAAAAAAAAAGAAAAAAAATCCAGAGGAAACGAAGTATTTTTTGTTTCATTTTTTTAATTTGGCTTCACGCTGAAAATTTAATTTACAAGCCATTCATGAGGAAAATGTCCAGTTGGGCAGAATGAGCCATGATTGTGTAACTGCACTCAACACTTGTAGTGTATCATTTAGGTCCCTTTCAGTAAATCATCATATGCCTTCTATAGCACAGTTTAAGCACCTATATCATATGCTCACTTCATCACACCCTATAGTCCATTTTAACCTATCAGACAAGTAACAAGAGAAGAATGCTCGAATTGAGGTATTTCCTTTAAAAATTTACTGATCACTGGCATTCAGAGGTAATGTTAAATCATATAGTTTTAAACATTGAAAAAATGTACAAAAACCAAGTTCATTTTTAAAAAATATTATCCTTAGTCTTCCATGCATGTTAATAAAAAATATAAAAATCAAATTTATAACACTGAAGCTATACCTTTTGTTCTGCAAAAGTATTTCCACAATTGGAGCCACAAAGTATGGTCATCTTCAGTACAATACTTGTTTTTGCTCTTCATTTTATGAAGTATAGTCAGTTCAGTGCAAAGGTAATAGTCTATGTACACATCTCATTGGAGCCACATGAGGGAAATTTACAGCAGAAAATATGCATTTAGATCATTATTATCCAGTAGCACTATATATTGTTACAGATTTACACTGCACATCCAAGGGCTCTTACAGTAAAAACCTTTTTTCTTTAAACACACCGGCTCTGTTTGAGCAGTCCTGAAGTCAGCAATAGAAGTTGTACCACTGATGGAACAACCACCTGATACCTCACAAGTGAGTCCCTACGAAACAGCTTCCTGCTCTGTCAACACAGGTTTCCAGCTAAAAGCATCCTTTTCATGGCAGTGCCTAACTTGGATTCAGTAGAAGTACAAGAAAATTCCAAAATGTGGTAATTTCAGTGTTAACTTTTTCGGTTTTGCATTTCAAGTTTCAAGTGTGTTCAAAACCATAGCAATCTTTTTTTTTTTTTTCTCCCAAAGTATAAAAATGATATCCTCAATGCAAGTTCAACAACAGAGATCAAAATTATTTTTTTCTGAGTTATTTCTCAGCTTGCTGATTACTCAATTTTATTTTTCCAAAAAAGATCAACTAGTATCTGTCATCAAATTAGAAATGTCTCACACACCTGGACAGATGCTGGGAATTATAAAAAGGTTTAGAAAGTGGTCCCATTGAACAGATGTCAAACACTTTCAGCACAACGCTGCAACATTTAACTAGTATAGTACATAATACAAGGTTAGCTGATGCTTACTCTTGGTCCTCTTCCAGGAAACAAATTCTATCACTTCTAAAGAAATTTACTTCTGACTTCTATTTCTAACATTGCTGATTTACATGGACTTTAATACCCTTAGAGCAATATGACAAAGCAATATAAACAAATCACCAGACACAAACAACTATAAAGACAAGCAGCTGCAATGGGTTTGCTTTTTCTCTAAGTATATACAGTTGCTAAGGAGACATGTTTAACTTAAAGGAATTCTAATTCACATATTTAAAAATACAATTTCATTTTTAGATGTTCACTTTAAAACTGCTTTTGTTGTCTGGAAAATACAGTACTGGCTAACCTAAATGTCCTTTTTGAAATATAAGAAATATTTTGCTTGAAGTTCATTATAAAAGAAAACATAGGACAAAAAATATATACTTAGGCCATAAAAGATCTTTCAAAGTTTATTTCTTTAGCATTTAAAATACAAAATTGTCTTCATGCTGGATAGTGAATAAAAGACATGTATTTGGGATTTCCCCATATACATTCATAGACTTAGAAACAACCTATTGTCAGATGAATTTCATTTCCAGTACCATGGTAGGATGAAAAGTGTCTTGAGCATCAGCTTTCTTCGGTATCCATGAGGAGACTGTTTGCAATCACATTTATAGATCCTGCACTTGGAACATGGAAGTGAACAGGCTCACACAGAAAGTGATATATATAGAGAGAGTCAGGAGTCAATCCAATTTAAGGTTTCACTGTAAACTTCTAATACTTCTAAATTTAATTTTGTGTTGCTCACAGGAAGAAGGACAATCTCATAAGCTCCTCCAGACCTGCTGTCACCTGGACACACCTGCAATGGCTGAAGTGTATGAAAAGAAAAAGCAGTTCTGCACCTAATGGCAGGCACAAGCTAAAATAGTTTAGTTTTGGGTAGCATTATCAGAATGGGACTCGAATAGGTGAAACCTGCTGCTGCCTGCTCAGGGAGAAAAGTTCATGAATGTCACTTCAGCTAAAGAGGCGGCAGGGTCTCCCTCTGGCTGCAACAAACCTACAAAGAACAGACAGCACAAGCAAGAACTAGGGATACAGTAAACGGAATTCACCAGCCCAAGAGGCAGAAAAGATCCTTCTTTACTGTGGGAAAAGGCCAGCTGCAGAGTAAAGGCTTTGCTGCCATGCTGGGCATGGATGGGATTTTCTACTTGCTGGTTCGGAATCAGAAGTTCAGCCTGATTTTTCTTCAGCTGACTTTGGCTCAGAACTGGCACTCTTCAATAAAACACCCCATTGACAGTATAAAAATAGAGTATTACAGAAGTCATGACTTTTTTCTCTTGCTTCTGACATTTTTGGTCAAAGTGAAAAAACTGAAATGTAACACTCTACCAACAGATTATCATACAGCACCTTTTTTGAAATCCCCAAGCTATCTCAAGTGAGCTCTGATGTTCATATGGCTCTGTTCAACTTAGCTCAGAATAAAGCATGATAACTGTGCTAATAAAAAAATACTCCAAGGAGCTAAGTTACGTAACAGAAATAACTTACTGAGGTGCAATCAGTGCTAAGGTGATCCTACCATTTCTTTTCCCAGACACTGATCATTTTAAAACTGCAAATACATCTATACCCAAAGTTGGTCTGCACAGGAGTATTCTGCTCTGCCACCCTGCTAAGGAATAAACAGCCACTGGACCACGCAACTAGTAAAATGATTTTGCATAATGGACTTGCAAGACAATCTAGGCAGTGTCAACTACTGTGCAGAAATGTGTCAGCATATCTCACAGAAACATAAACCTTCTATTTTATAAGCCTCTTATATCCTCTGCTCTCTTGGTATCACCCATTTCAGTTTAATCACATTACACATGATAAAGCACATCACACCATCTGGGGAAAAAGAAGCTGCTTTCTACAAAACAAAGCACTCTTCCACTTGAAGAAGTCAAAGTAGTTAGTATCTTGAAAGAAACCTGAAATGTTTCCCAGAGAAAGAAACTGTCTCAACTTAAGCACTATGAGACACAGGAAATACTCACAGACCCAAGTCCAAACACATCTAAAGGATGCCCTGTTTGCTGCTGTGTTCTCTCAGCAGTTTTAACTCAGTATTATCATTTGCACATGGTTTGACCACAAGATGCTGGTGACCAGCACTGTCATATCCAGTTCACCACCATAACTATTCCACAGAACTATCACCTTTGTATCTCTGAGGTGGTGCTGGAGGGCTTTTACCTGTAATAAGATCCTACAGGGTTCCTGTCATGGTTTGAATACTTTTCTCCATAATTCAAATTAAAAAAAGGCAGGGTGAGAAGATGAAATCTCCACTGTCAGTGACCAAGACATTACTGGGATGTTGCAGTACCTTCAAGAAATCACCTTCTGAGTGGTCTTTACCTTAAATTCTTAAATTCTACCTAGTCAGGATAGCAAAATTACCTGAATGACCATGTCAGCCTTCCTGCTCATATGTGAAACAGATCTTGCAGTTTTGCTAGACTGATCAATTAATAATTAAATTAATTAATAACTAATTATCAATGGGGCTGATGACAATTCTTATTTCCATTTTGTATTCTTCCAGGTTTTTTTGGTAGTGATTTATTTAGAATAATTTGTTAATTTAAGTCTTCCTAATCAGCTGAAGTTCAGATATCTGAAAAGTAGCAAACTATTTGAAGTGCCTGGTTCACAGGGAGCTTCTGTGCCTCAATACGGCTTTAGGAGCCAAATTTGAATTTTGCTAATGTAGAACTCTTGGCCAGTGTATTTGTCATTTCCTATTTCTAGAGCACTCACGAAAGCTCTGCTAGAGAAAAAAACATAGGGTTCACATTAGGTAAAATGCAACATTTCAGAAAGTATTATGACCCACACTCTGACCTAAAGAAAAATTGAACTTAATTGGTGAGAACTTTAAACCAGAATTTTGTTTTCTCTCTAGCCTAGTTTAGGCCCATAACATATGCAAAGCTGTGCTTACACAGGATCTACAGCACATGCTACTAGAGTTCTGCAGCTAGTATTTTGTAAGTCAGGGCAGGTGGGTTTATTTTGTTAGGTTTTTTTTTTTTTTGGTTTTTTTTTTGTTTTTTTTTTAATTTGTCCTTTAATGAGGATGCTATTTTTGAAGGAGCAGAGAGCAGAAGGTGACTAAAACAGTTAATATGAGAAGCTATAGTTACCACATGGTAAAAGTAAAAGAAGAATAATTAAAAGTAGGAAGTAGGAAGAATAATTTACTGGCAATACCAAAGATGAACTTATCAGGGAACTCATAAATATATAAAACCACACCTGCTTTATAAATTTAGCAGATGTTGAAGGGCAACAATGAATTCTACAGGAAAATGTTTACTGCATTTTGTGAAGACAAAAATACTCCAACCACCCCAATGCCTAAACTAGCTAACAAAGTTATTCAGCTTGCATGAAGATATTAATAAAGAGCTCTGTGTGACACGTAGCTATTTACTTCTGGCAGCTGTGTCACTAAAGAGGTTGCATCACTTCCCCACTGCACACGTGTCCTTTTCAACCCCTGTGACCTAAGGATTTACACCTCGAAAATGGGATTAGCAAACACACACACACGTCTGGTTGCTATTTATCTCACCTAGATCATTCTAGCTACAATAAATGCATCTAAAATATATAGTGTAATTAATTAATATAAAACGAAGTGTACAGCCTAGCTTCTCCATCAGGCTTATAAATTTCCTATGAAGTGTTTTAAATTTATCTGTTACAGCAACAGACTCCCCAAAAAATCTGTAACAACACTTGCCATACCGTGCTAGAGACAGTGGTTTAAACATCATTTGCACCTACAAAACATTTGTTTGGTTTTAGTGGGATTCCATTATGTTTGAAAAAATGCAAATTGAACAACAAAAAACCAAACAACCCCCCAAAAACTTCAGATATTTTGGATTTTGTGGTTTTCTGGGTAACTTTAAATACTTGTTCAGGCTATGAGAAGAGATACCCAGTGCATTGGCTGGGTATCATACAATATGTAAAAATTCAGGTTGATGCAAGAACTCTACTGGCAAGGGATGGCAGTGTTACATAAGAGTACAAAAATGCTCATCAGAAATGTTAAATGCCTTCACAGCCCTGCATTTTTCGTGTAAGGATCATTTAAGTTAAACATCATTTGCACCTACAAAACATTTGGTTTTAGTGGGATTTCATTATGTTTGAAAAAATGCAAATTGAACAACAAAAAACCAAACAACCCCCCAAAAACTTCAGATATTTTGGATTTTGTGGTTTTCTGGGTAACTTTAAATACTTGTTCAGGCTATGAGAAGAGATACCCAGTGCATTGGCTGGGTATCATACAATATGTAAAAATTCAGGTTGATGCAAGAACTCTACTGGCAAGGGATGGCAGTGTTACATAAGAGTACAAAAATGCTCATCAGAAATGTTAAATGCCTTCACAACCCTGCATTTTTCGTGTAAGGATCATTTAAGTTAAACAGTTGCTAAGTCTGCTTGTGTCCCCTTGTAAATTTAGGGGGTGTTGATAGTACCTGTTAAAATATACCGATCTGCCTATAAAATCAGTAATATTTTAATAGAAAGCATTTACACATCAACATTTGGTGAAAGGGAAAGGAAGTTTTCACTTCTTCTCTGACTTTGCATCAGGTCACTGAAACTTAACTGTTGCAATCGAGCTGCTCTACAGTCAGATGCCTCTAAAAAGGCTTCTCATCAGGAACTACTGAAACACTTCTGCAACTGGGGTTTGATGGATGAGTTGTAAGGAGAGTATGGCTGCAGTCATGTGATGTGCTACAGGCCTCTGCCCTCAAGAGCCTGAGTTCAGGCTTCTGAACTGTGGTAATGTGGCTACTCTCTCACTACAAGGCAGTCTAATATTATATACTACAAATGCTAAAATTAATGGAATTATATGGATTAATCTCAACTTTTGTGATACAATGTGTGATCTAAAAGTGTTTCCATGCAGGCTGATCCTTCACCCTATCATTCCTCCTATTATGTCTTTATCTCATTCAGTAATTTCTCAGAAGAGGGAGAATCACATTTCCTTCCAGAATCTGTTGTTTTGTCTTATGCCTTTTTTTTTTTTTTAAATGATTTAATCAACCAATTTTTAAATGAGTTTTAATCCACCAAGAGTACTTGCTTGTGCCTTGTGTTGGTCTCCAGCAGCAGCTCTGGGCTGAGCTCACTGGGGCACGGGACTTTCAGTGCCTCTTTGTGGAGCCTGTTTAAGGGCCCATCTACTACAGGCTGCAGCGCCCTCCAATGCACTCTGTAAAGCTTAGGTGCACACAAGTACAGTCATTACACTCACCACAATTATAAAACAGAAATTAAAAAAAAAAAAAAAAAAAAAAGAAGTCAATGAACCTATGGGCTTTCATAAAACAGACCCTCAAGTTACTCACACCATACATGCAAATTCGACATACTTGTATTTAGCCAGCTTCACTCAGCTTTCTTTGCTTTTTCACAGATGTGGTCAATGTATCTCCTCTGGAGTGTCTCTCACTTCAGAGCTGTCCATGGGATTCTAAGCTTACCTCTTCTTTCCAGACACATGTTGAGGAACTCTCTCATTCCCTGCATTCTGAAATTCTCACATTCCCAAGCTCACATACAAAGCAAAAGATAACTATCTCAGCCAGCTTGAGCCATGTGCTGTAGAGATACAATATGTCCAGACTACACCTGCCTTCCCTTACATCCTGCATAATTACAGAAAACAGACCTCAGGGACATCTTCCTGTAACCTTGGGGCATGATCAGCAAAATCAAGTGTCTCTATTGGAGCTTCTCTATTTTCAAAAACTCCAGTTTTCAAAAACCTCCTTCCTCCACTGAAGGAAGGCAGGCTGTTCACCCCAACTGAAATAACCCTCCTCCTTAGCTTAATAAGGCATATTGTAAGAGACTTTTCCTAATGCTTAATTTGCCTTTTCAATTAATAGCTAGCACCTATCATCCTTGTGGAGAAGAGTGTTCCTATTTCCTCTGTAGCAACTTTTCCCGTATTTAAAGACTGTTCACATCTTCCTTCAGTGTCCTCTTCTTTGGATTAAAGGATACTTTTGATCTCTTTTTGAGTACTTTCTGTCCTTCAGACTCGATTAATTTATACCCCATCTCTCTCAGATGCCCCAATATGAACAGGTACCTCAGGTAAGACCTTATCACATCTTGGTAATGAAGAAATCCACCCTGCTTCTCACAGGCCACATACTCATGCACTCCACCATCAAGAGCACCTTTTCTGCAGCGAAGAGTTAACAGTGCTCAGTTTGACATATTCTGTGCCATCCCTGCCTCCAGATATAGCACAGTAATATTCACTCCCTCCTCTGTGCAGCTGACTATTCCTACTTAAGTGTAGTTTCTCATATGTCTTATTTTTTCAATCAATTTCTCCTATTTGTCATGATCAGCTTTAATTCAAATCTTGCCAGCCAGTCTGCTGCCGCCCCATGAGCTTGGCTTTTGTTACCTAGATAAATCAAAAATTTAATTATTACCTCCACATACGCCCCATAAAGCATATTTTCTTACATTTTTTTCCTCCTACCCTCTTTATTAAAGCCAGTTCCAGTTTGGAGACCTGCCACATACAGTTCAGGATTTCTAAGGACACATTCCAATACCCTAATAAGCTTTAAAGCACCTCCTATTATTTAAAAAAAATAGTTATAAAAGCATTTGGTACAAACAGACATCCTTTGCTAAAATTCTTCCTTTTCAAATCTAGTTTTAAATTCCTTTGTGGAAGACTCAAATCTCAATAGCTTTCCATGCACAAAACCCTACAAAACTAGTCAGAAATTACTTAGAAGATTTCTTTGTTTGGAAGCAGAGTTGCCATCACAGTTATTTTATGACAGAGTCACCATCACAGTTATTTTGTGACAGAGTCCTCCCTCCTACTCCTTGAGGCTTCTGTCACATTTCCCAATCAATGAAGTTCTGTGGTTTTATAATACTCTAGATTTTTCTCTGAGACCTCCAGTAGCAGTTAAGGCATCTGGCTTTACAAAAGGAAACATATGTATTACTAAATACAAGTGTGGTGGTTTTTTTAAACAGTTCTAAACTATTCTAAGCTTCATATATGTTCTATGAAGTATATGGAATGTTGCTATAGAGATTTAACTAGCACTTCTTCAGGATGTTCTGCAACTTGCTGCTGGCTTGGTCTCTGAAGTGACTGCAACCTTTTCCAACTTCTGCTGATACACCAAAGTTTCCATGACATATTCCATGCTATGTTATCCATACAGGCTTGCTACAAAAGAAACCTGTGACTCCTGATAAATCTCAATCAAACAGAGCTCTGTACACATCTCCTATAAAATGCTGTGTGGTCATGATCTGAATTGGTTATGAGAGGAAAGCACAAACAGTTCAATTATGTATTTTCAGACAGTATGTGGCATGTCAGTTTGGAAAAATTCATGTTTAATTGCATCCGGAAGATTACAGTAGAAAAGTGTTGGGGTGAGGGATAATAAGACTTTCCTTTTCATTCTACCATGGAAAGAGAAACAATTTTGTCATTCAGCAATAAAAATAAAAAAGTAATCCTTAGCAAGTTTTTGTATTACTGTTTCCAAACTGCTCACTGAAACCAAAACAAAGGGCCAAAGTATGCTTGCCTTGCTCAAGAGAATAATTCCCACCAAAATCAACAAGACTGACTATTCAGATATGGACATCAAAGTTTGGCCCCAAATAAACATCCCCGTAATTAGGGAAAACACTAATCACCAAAGTGCACTTTACACCATAGTAGCTACAGTTTCTTTATACATGCACAGTTTGTGCGACACTTGGTACATGGAACTAGCCAATGGAATATAAATAAGTCGTGCCGCTTCCTTTTAAATATGAACATTAATAATGAAGCACATTCACATTTTTGCCTTTCAAAGACCTTTTGAAAAAAAAAGTAAAAACACCTTTCCCAAAGCAACCTGGAACATGTTGTTAAACATAGCACATATGATTCAAAGGATGGTATGCAGGTAGAACTTTCACACACAAAACTGGTATTTGCTGTATAATTGGAGTGACTTATGAAAATCCCAAGAAAATACAACCCTCTCACCAGGAGAGGAAGGTAACAGTTGTAGTGTTAATTCAGTTTCTTCTGCAAGGGCTTCTTTCTATCTCCACTGCTGTCAGGGCTGAAGTCAGTACAGATACCATTAGGAGCAGAAAGAGATGAAGTCTCCAAGCCGCTCTCAGCTCGCATCTGATCAGCATAGAGATATTCTTCTGCAAAGTGTGGGTGCAACACAGCAAATGTGTAGAAGTCATCTAAAAAAAAATAGTTGTTGCACAGAATCAGCTCTTTGAAACAGAAGGATGCTAAATTTGAATACTTACACATGTATAATCACATGATTTCTTTGGAGGAAAATAGCAGCAGTTAACATAATGCTATCCCCAATGCTTGTTTTAGCTTTCAGCCTAACTTTATCACATCTGCAGAGCTGAGATGCTGCAAAGAGTTATCTAAGCCCTCTGAAAACACTTCAGGCCAGAGCTTAGCTGTATGAAGGGGTAAACAGACTCAGATTTGCATTAAAATGCATGATGAGCACCACATGCCCTGACACAGCATTCCACTATTCACTGGGGAAGTACAGAAGCCCTCCAGCTGAAGATCACTGAACATCAAGAGCAGTCATTTCTTAAATGCTTAAAACTCTTTTGCAAACATGCCCTTTAATGCTTTGCACTCATAGTTTGCTTCAACCTAACAGCAGCTGTCATTGCTGCCTTCTGCTTTCAAGATTTCAGCATTTTAGAAGTTCCAATATTTTAGAGAATAACACTGAGGAGATAATCTATAATGCAGGAAAGAATTCCTGATTTTAATGTTGGATAATAACACAATAATCAGAAAAGCCAGATTAGTTCTTGGGGGAGTGGGGAATCCTTAACACCAAGAAGTAACATTCTGTGCTGAAAATCAGACACTGAAACTTTGTCTCAATTTGCCCATATGACTTTATTCAGACATGATCTGAACACACAATACTGTACAGGAACCAAGCAACAAGAAGCTATTCTTATAACGTAAACTGACACTAGAAAAATCTGGATGTGAATGTTTTCACTAATTCAGTCACCTACAGTGTATCACACACCTCCCACTCAAATTCACTGTGCAATCCCAGAAGAGCTCACGATCAGATGATGATGTGAATTCCCTGGAGTGCAGAGCAGATGACACCTGAAGACGCCTTTCAAAGGAGTGAAGTTCCTCCTACAACTGGGCTGGTATGGAAGAAGAGAAACACTGCAGCCTTCCCTCTCTGCCACTCTTTGAGATGACAATGATTTTTCAATATTGCAAAGGGCAAGGGAGCAAGGGAATGCCATATGGCTCACAGGGGCACTGAAGTTGTAGGGCAACCCTGCCTCTGAACTGTTGCAAAGGGATAGGCAAGGAGAAGGCAATAAATGTAACTTTGTCCTTCCGCTCACAAAAAAAGTGGGTATCATCCTTTATCCATATGGATCTAGAGCATTCTGGACCTATAACTTCAACAGAAGTTGATGAAGTTTAGGTCATGAAAACCAACATTACCATCTACGTTGAAAAACTCTATGTACAACAGGCTGATGGATCATATAAACGATAAAGTCTTTATGAGGAAAGGGCAATCCAGACTGAACAGAGTAACATTCTGGATAGATCTCAGTAAGCTGACATTTTGGGTCCTGCTGAAATAAGTACTCAAAGAATTAAGGAATACTTATTGAAGTTGTACTCAGCAGAGTGCAATGGAAAGTGCTTGGAATACCATTTGCCTTATTCATCAGAAACGTGAAACATTTAAAAGATCACCTCAGTCATTAACTTGGGGAAAAAAGGTGATTTTGCTTCCCACCTCCATTAAAAACAAAGAGACAAAGAAAGAACCCAAAGTGGAGTTAAGAGTCATATCTATATTTTTGCATTAAGTATGCATATGTACCACAAGAACTTCAAGATTTTTTTCTCCTACCCTTGAAACACCCTCCTACTACTTGATGCTCCTCCTGGAAGCTCTGTGTTCATTAATCTTCTCTAGTTTCTGTTTCCACTAAGCAAAAAAATATTGTAATCCTGATCAATATATAATTATTTTAAGCAAATAATTCTTCCTTCCCTGATTCTTCATCCATACAGATACTTCAAATATGGCCAATTCCCCTTTTTTTTCTGGCTACAGCAAGCCAGTGAGTCTTCAGAACACTTTCATAGTCTGAATTGTCTACAAAGAGCTGGTGCAGAGTTTCCTAGAATTTGACATGCCATTCTAGAGATCCTATTCAAACTCTCCAGAACCATGTCTTAAGACTGATAAATCTTACCTCTGTCTATATTAGACTAATAGGAAAAGCTTTGCAGTCAAAGTGCATCTGAACAACTAAGCCAACTGCACACTGCGTAAGAGAACTGATACATCAATCTTTGGCAACCCGAGTGCTTTCAACCATGCAACAAAAATTCAGATTTCCAACAACTCAGATTCACATCCTTGATTTTGATCTTGATTATTCTGTTTACTTGCAACCTGAGCTTTTCCTTTGAGATGAGATCTGTGGCTTCAAGGACTCTGCTGTGCGTGCAGCAATTTAGGTTTGATACTTTAGGTATTTTATCTTTTCCTCTTACAAATAAGGCTCAACTTAATATTCCTGTTTTAAATTCCAACACCCTAGAAAGGAGATTGTCAGTAGACCTCTGCTGTGTGTATCCAAAGTAACATTAATTCCACCAGATACAATGCTTTGATTTCTCAGAACTTGTCTTGACAGTATCCTCAGAACTGTGTGGTCTGCAAGTTTTTTCACCATCCCTTTTTAGTAAGTGCAATAAATTGAGCATGTGTGAAGTTCCACATACTCTCAAGAGAGGCAAGAGGTTCAATATTTATGTCAGGAACTCTCAAGACAGAAATGCAATACCAAAAGTTTATTTACACCTTCTAATTCTCTAATCTAGTAACTTGGATATTCAATCCCACTATTAAACTTTCAGATATGTTGAAATGACATGTTTCTATTATAAAATGAGCACTTCTCTCAGAAAAACCGCTAAGGGAAGTTTCAAAGAAATTATGCAAACACCATCCTCCTACCTACTTTGTGTTCCATCACAAAAAACCTAATCTTGACTACAGGATATAAAATAGTGAAAATGAGGGCCAAGCACTCCAGTGGCCACTGCTGTCTCTTGGTGGTCCAGATTTTCTTGTGATGGGAACATATGATGACCACTTAGGGAAAAAGTGCAGATTAAATGCACCAATTACAGATTAATATTAAAATATGAATTCTTTGGTAACTTACATAACCTGGTCTGAGTTCACTTGTACATGACTACAAATTTAGCTATTCTCAAACAATGAAATGTGCCAAAATTACAATTCTGCTATGCTTACCAGCTTAAGATTTGTGCTGGTATTTTTGAAGCCGGTGATTGGAAGGTGGTGGGAAGAGCTGAGTCACTGCACAATATGAGTTGGAAGACAAGGAGGAACAGTGATGAGCAGGAAAAAGACAATGGGCAGGATGGATGTGGAAATGCTGGGGATGTGACAGACAGAGGCACAGAAAGGAAAGGGATAGTACAGCAGGAATCAAGGAGAGAAGACAATAGTCAGGCAAAATGGAAAGGACAGTGGCAATTATACTGATTTCAGTAACTCTAAAACATTTGTGTATTTGAAGTTTTACATATGTATTGTATGCTTGAAACAGAGGAATCACTAATGTAGAAACTATAATTTACTAAAACTAATGTATTATTTTGTAAGATTTTTACCAATGAAATACATACTGATTATCCTGAGGGAAAACAATTGGAACAGGGTATGGCATAAGCACATCTACTTAATATGTTGGCTATCAACAACTCAGCTCATACTCAAATGATACAATGAAATTTAAACCTTACTGTGTAAAACATAAATAATCTGAAGTAACATATAAGTACTCCGACTCTCAGCACAATCTATTCACCCAGGTCTCAATTTTTCAAATGCAACTTTCTTGCCTTCATTCCACCTACATTGCAGACTATAGAATAGGCAGCCTGGTTAACTCCCTCATTTCCTGCTCTCAGACACAAGAAAAAACAACAAGACAGAGCGAAGGCAGGTTTCTTTAAAAATACACGTTCACATACATGGAAGTCATAGAACAGAAAACATTGAAGGAGCTAACCCTCCTATTATGTGACTTGATGAGGAAGGGAAAACTGAAAACATGCAAACATGGCATTTGATACCAAAGGTGAAACTCGTTTTTTTTAAATGTACATTTACTTTGTTTGCAGTGCTGCTATCTATATTGAAGTCAAGCCAAGTAAAAAAGGTAGAGTTTAATAAAAATGTAACTGCTTTGTTTGTCAACATGAGTGCTCGCAACTTTGACATTTTGTGACAGTTCAGAAGCAGTTAGAATACTTACCATATGTAATCTTTCCTTTTTCCTCTTCATCTACAGCTCTAAAAAGATGGGTAACATCAATTTGTGACACACCCATGGCAGTCTTCAAAATATGAGCTAAATCCTCTTCTGTTACAGTTCCGCCTTCTGACTGGTACAGCTATGAATCAAGACAGCAAGATAAATCATTGCAAAGCTGAATGCCAGCTCCTATAAACAGCACTACACTGAAGTAAAGCAAAACAAAGTTGGTATTAGAAATTCTAGTCACTCTCAGACTGATGTGATATATTAAGGATTTCAGATTAGTTTGGGTAAAAAATATCATCATCAGTTCACCTGTGTATGCTTAGAAAGTAAAGCTTGCTATAATCAGAAAAAAGTCCTAACCACTGGAATCACTGTGATATTCAGCAACAAGACTGTCAAACATTAACATGTTTTGCAAACATATAACTGAGAACAATATTCAGTCCATCGAGCTATGTGCTGGAACTTCAACACAGTCTGTAATATCCGGAGATATATTTAGGTCAGCCTAAATCAGATACCATTTCCACTTGGTCAGGTGTAAAACTCAAGATTCCTTTGACCAAAATCCAAAAGCAAGCTTGCATTACATGTCTGTATCTAAATGGTATTAATCAGGAGAATCCTACCCCATACACCAGTGACGGGCATAAAATTTTCTACAAGTATTTATTCTAGAAAACAATCAATTGCATACTCTTACATCCTAAAGAGTTACCTCAAAAAGTTAGCTTTATTTCTGACAGATTGATAACTATGAATAATTGCTCATAGTCTCATTGCATTTTTGCATATGTACGGTGTTTTACCCTGAGAAATGGACCTGAATACTTCAAAACATCTGTACCAAATAGTTTCCTTAAAATAACTCAATTTGCCTATACAATGTGAAGTGAGAGAACAGAGGTTTTGAAACATTTCTCTGTCCTTTTCAAGCATGACAACACCAAAAATATCAAACCATGTAAAAAGTGCCATTTAGGAAACTTCCTTTTAATTTCTCTACATCATTGAGAAGGTGGGAACTAATGAGATTGAACAAAACAGGCACAAGTATGTATTCTTCACAGAAGCAGAAGCAGTTGTCATGAGACAGCACACCTTAGTGGAATAAAAATATTGAAGTTCCATGGAAGAAAACATATGCTCAGATCAGGAGTCTTGCCTTTTGCCCCCCAGCACCTAGCCTGCACACTGTTTCACAGGAATAGGGCAAAGACCAAGACATTTCTTTAATAAAACCTGCTACATTTTCACAGAACAAGTAGTCAGGTAATATTGGGTGGCCAGTATAAACACTATATTGACAAGATTCACAACAGCTTTTAGTTTCTTTTGCAGTTCGGAAGGGAAGGTGTAGCTCTTACACCAGAGTGCTGCTCTTAATCCAAACCCCCTGCCAAGGCAGGGTCACCTAGAGCAGGGTGCACTGGAGTGCACCCAGGTGTGTTTGGAATGTCTCCAGAAAGGGAGGACTCCACAACCTCCCTGGGAAGTCTGTTTCAGCGCTCTGCCACCCTCAACATAAATAAGTTGTTTTTCATCTTGAGGTGGAACTTGTGATTTAATTTATGGCCACTGTTCCTCTGTCATTGGGCACCACTGTCCTGACACCCACCTTTGAGGTATGTACATGCACTAATGAGATCCCCCCTCAGTCTTCTCTTGTCCAGACCAAACATCCCCAGCTCCCTCAGTTTCTCCTCGTAAGAGAGATGCTCCAGACCCTCTCCATTACCTCAGGTCTCTCCCCATCAAACTCTCCAGCCTATGGAGGTGTCATTGAATGGCAGCACAGCCTTCACATCTACCTCCCACTTCCCCCAGTTTTGTAACAACTGCATATAATGATACTGTTTTTCAAGTTCTTTAGTCATACTCTAAACACTTTAACTTTGAAAACCTGTAGCTATGTGAAATGTTGCACTTTTCCTGAAGGAAGGGCAGAGGACAATGCCTGTTCAAAGTCATACACTCATGAACTAGCGAGGTCCTTCAATGGCTCCAGGTAAGCTGTGTGAATATCTTATTGTAGGTGAAGTCAGGACAGGAGGTAGGAAAGGATTAAAAAATGTTCCCTTTCCTTATTTTTTAATCCCAGAATAAGCAAAATTTCCTCAGCTTGAGACTTTTCTTAACCCTTCCAATCACCACTAGCAGGATAAAATGAGCCATACCTGCTTCCCCTCGCTGAGTACTTCCCCTTCCTAATACAGGCAATAAAGCTTCTTTGCAGTTTTACAGCTAACTTTATATTTTGTAATTAATACATAATTTTGAGTCACTTTGGTATGTGACAGGGAGTGAAGCAGATAATGAAGAACAGAAATTTTTTAAAGAAACAGTTTAATTAACTTCAAGTGCTTCCAGAAAGAAAATAACTGTCCAATCTGAGCTTTTCTTCCTGTCAAATGATAAAATTATCTTGCACGTTATCAAGCATGACAGCTAAATTTAAAAAAATATTTCCCCAAAGCCCCCTTTACTTCAAATTTGTTCATTTTAGTATGAAGACACAGAGCTGACCAAACAGCACCTGACTATTTTTCTATGCTATTTAATAGCTGAAATGGACTGAGTCAGGACAGAGACCTTTCTTTCTGCTTTTCTCTCAGAAGCAGCAATAAGTAACAGCAGCTACTAATGGCAAATTTCCCACAATATTTGTAGGAAATAAATATTTTTGCTCCTTCCTCCTCTGCTAAATTTACTGGATTCTGGCTGAAGGGTAAGAATGATACATGTGAACACTAAGCATTCACAGGAGCCTCATTTCTTCAGCAGCACGTATTCAAAGTCATCATGCTGAAGAACCTGAATACAACTACACAGAAAATAAGGCTGCAATGTAGCACCATGCAGTTGAATGCTCTGAGCTTCATGCATTCACTAGTGAAGACAGCATCAAGACTTAGCACTACTCAGTTTCAGTAACACTGAAGACCATGTGAATTCAAGGCAAAGGGAAAAGATGATGCAGGATGCAGCGGAGTTTGCATGTTGAAACAGTAATATTAAAGAAATTAACTGAAAAGTAATAAATCAAGGTGTCAGAAGCTCATTGGTTAAGCATTGTTGCTGTCACTTCCCCAAAAAGCTTGCATTAACAATCTATAGTGATGCTACAACAAACCACTGAGGCTAGAGCAAGATCAGGAGCACTTCTGGGAAGCATCAAGTCTGGACAAAGACTGCAGGACCACCACACATACATGGTAAGACTAAGAGGGAAGAAAATTTTAACAAGAAGAAAGAAGGAGATAAAAAAAAAATCTCTATTAGCATGTAGGAAATTTTTAATATTTTATTAACTTGAAAAATTAGATTTGATTGAAATATTCTAAGAGTAGTAAGTACAACTCGACAGACTGTTTAGAGGAATCTGTACAAAGGACTTGAGGTTTGAAACTTAATTTGCTAAAAAGGATTCTGCCAGAGTTCTACAGAGGACAATTTCAAGACGCAAGCTTTCATAATTTTATACAACTTACACTTGCAATGTATTCCCTGTTAACATGAACTCTTAATATAACTTTCCATTAATATTGTTTGAAAATGTAATCAAGTATTAAAAGGAAACGTGGGAACATCTATTGAGTCTAATTTCAGTATTAGTAATTTCTAAAAATAAGTAAACTACGTAGACCAAGAAAATGCAGCTTACCTGAAATGCCAGCTGAATTGTTTCCAGAGTTTTGGATGGCTTACAGACAACTGACAGAGCAATGACAAATTCCCGAATGTCAATGATGCCATCTTCATTCTGTGAAGGAAAACCTCCCATCAAAATAGTGCAGTTTGAATGACAATTTTCATAAATAACTAACAGTTGCTAAAAATGCAGAATATTCAGAAAGATTTTTATATGTGCCACGACAAAAAAAAACATTTCACTGAAATGAAATCACACGAGGACAAGAACCTGGGTGAAAGCTCTGCAGATTCTTTTCACAGTCTCAGTCAAAGTCACAGTTTAAATATTCTTGGAAGACAGTGCTGCTAGTGTCACCCTTCACTCGCATATCTAAGATTTTTCCATTAAACCTCTGAATCACTGGGCTGAAATTAAAACCAGAGGACAATGCACCCTAATTTAAGCCCTGAATACATGACATCTGTTCCAAAAGAGAACACTGTGGACATATCCACCTCCTCCTGGTCCAGATAGCAGCTCATCCACACAAAGATAATCGTCATTTCCCCATTCTGACTGATTGCCAGAGGAATGAAAAACTCATTTGCCAAGATTCTTCAGGTTTCAGGCTCGTAGAAGAACAAGTCATTTATTTACAAGGTAAACGAAATAGCAGCTAACAGACACTGCATTCATCTGCAGTGAGCAGCAGCAGAGGTCTAGCCTCTTCATATTTCTTCCTCTTCATATTTTGCATCTAGAAAAGAGACAGTTTTTGTCCAGCTGATATTCCTTTTAAGTTCTAGCTGAAGGAATGCTTTATTTAGCTGATGATAGGTGCCCTTACCTTATTGAAAGGGAAGTGCAGTAAGCAAATTTTATGATGAAGTGCTCAGAAATCAGACCTCAGTGAATTAAATTGAAACAGAAGTAGGTTGAAGTGGAGTTTACAAAAAGTAGTAAAATTTTTAAACTTTATGTTGTTTCTTACCTCATCAAAAAGTGCAAACATACTTTCTAATGTCTGAGAAACAGGAAATTCCAAGTAGGATGAAAATTCTTTGAGATCAATCTTTTTTTTCTTCATTTTCATGGCACTGGCAGCATATTTATCAAGATCATCTTCAAGTGTTTCTGGCTTCAGCCTATAAAGCATATTATTTTTGCACATTTTAAAAATCAACCCAGTTTTAACAATTGTTTTGAAACAGTATTTCAAAACATCAAATGAAAAAATGGATGATTATGGTGTAAAGCACTACAAAGTTTAGATTCTGATTATTACACAACTTTATTATCAAATAATGTATGTCTGTAATTTTAAAGCTCCCATTAATTCTCAAGCTGTATCAGGAATCACTGCAAGGGTTTAAGAACCCTGGACAAACTCATGTCCTTTAGTCTACCTTGATTACAAGCCATATGTGTAAGCAGCTCAACAGGAAGAAACAGTCTAGAGCTAGCTAATAAATTCCAAGCATGGAGAACTTGGTGGAATTTAGGTCACCTGAAAATGGCTGTATTGTAGGACAGTACTATAAACCAATTACATTTCCAAATTTACTAATGTCACTGAACAGGAAGGACATGATGCATGTCCTTACCTAAAAAAAAAAAAAATAAAAAATCAGGGATTACGTAATAGTGATTATACTGTTAATCCTGTTTATCAGTCCTCATTTTTCACATTCAGTCTTGAGTTGGACATCATTATGAGGTAACCCAAACAAAATTCTTGCAGTTCCTACAGCTACACAATTTCCTTAGTCCCTCCCTATTGCAAAACCAGATGTTGACTGATGAATGAACTTTATACTTACATAGATATCTACTGCATGGTTGTTGGCTGGTTTTTTTGCCTAAGTCAAGCTTCCTGTTTTGGCTTTGCGAAAAAAAAAAAAGCCAACAACAAAAAATAACCCCAAAAACAACCAAACAAAAAAGCCCTACTGAATAATCTTACTATGAATAAAATAAACGGTACTGCAGGTATGATGTAAAGAAAAGCAGCTTTCCCCCCTAATACAACATCAAGCAGATCTGGATCAGGTCTCCTCTGAACTGATTTAGGGTAACTTGGGCATCTTTCCACTCCGAAGACAAAACATGCCAGTAAAGTCTCCTACAATGTCCTTCTGCACTTGTCTGTTTTGCTGCTTGCTGCTGCAGACAAGGAAAAGCAGCTATTCACACAACTCAGAAGCTTACACCAGAACTGCTCCCAGACCGCAGCTGGGACTCTTCATCAGCTTCCTCTCAGTAACAAGAATGAATAAAATGCTTAATATCAGCATTCTGAGGAGCTTCTGAAAAAAGATAAGAGTATTTCTGCTAGGAAGATGATCTGATACATCAGCTCCAGAATGTGATCGCTTGCTGTAGTTACTCTTCCTAAACATCACAACTTTTAAGTAAAAATACAACTCCCATGTTTTTTGTCATGACCTATACTGACTTACCAATATGTACTAACTAAACCATGCCAAGACTGTATTTCTGAATTATAAGACTTGAACATGCAAGAACTCTTCCAGAAACCCACAGCTCCTACAGAACATTCACAAATCTCCATCCTAGCATTAAAGCACCTATCTTAAGATTTAGTCCTAGACAGTGAAAAAAGAGTGAGACACCCTTCTGCAAACATTAATTTTCCACAATCAAGTAGAAAAGGAGAAGGAACAATAACAAAAAAAAAAATCCATAGAGGATTTGAGATGCACACAGAATTCACCCTCTCACATGCAGGATTACATGTAAGAAGTGTCCACTGATAACACATCCCAGGGTAGTGGCTGCACTGGATTTTGACTGTAGCATGAGGACAGCTGGCATCTAAATCCTCCCTTGAGATAAGCCCCCACTGACGCAGAATATGTAGTGTAACATTTGTCTCTAAACCAGAGAGATTTTGTTTGCAATGAATTGTCTCAAAATTCACCTTCTAGAACAGAGGGAGCACCCCTTTGGTGAGTAGCACTCAAGACCTGCAAGATCTCCTCTTCATGAGTAATTAAGCCTGAACAGCTATAGAAGCTTGAAGGCAAAATAATGTATGGAAAGTAATACAGCTCACCAAGAATCTTACAGGCATCTTGTGGTTTATGTTTTGTAAATATGGAAAGATGTGTAAGGCAATCTCAAAAGCAGTATGTGGATCAGTGAGGCAAACTGCTTCAACTTGAATATAACAGAATTGTACTTCTGGTCATCCAAGGTGGGCTCACTTCCCTCTAGCCCTTCAAAACCAGGAAGTCATTAATATGTTGATGACCATAAGCTGCTAAACTGAAGTCTTCAGAAGCCAAGTGCAAATGTTATAATAGCTTCTGAACCAATGTGCAAAGGTCTGAATGTCCCAATTCCTTTACAATTGTTACTTTTATCCCAATGGAGGCCATAAATTACAGAAAGCCCACAACAAATGTCTTCCCTCATGAAATGATGTTTGTTGGCTTCATAGTTTTCATGCAGGATCCAGGCTTTATGATATATAAAATTATTTGCTATTGTGGTGTTTTGCTTCATTTTTTAGGTCAGCGCACACTAAAGAGAACAAGAAGTATTCCTGAGTCCATGAAGATGGAAAGGACATTTTTCAAGATTAACAGCTCTGAACATGAAATTTTTCACAGCAGACTTCACCAGGAAAACCAGATCCCTCAAGGTAGAATATCTTACAGCATAATTATCACTATTTTTAGCAAGTAAGCTAGTTTTCGCTATTTGACTATTTGAAAACAAGCTTATTTCTTGCATGCTGGGAACCTGCCAAAAACCTTCAGAGAGCTGGAAGAACAGCTGGATCTTGTAGCTAGCTACTGGAAACTGCAAGCACAGACAAACATGCCCTAAGCCAGAAAAGCACAATACATGCAGCTTTATGTTTGATGATGTACTTCTGTGCAACTTCTTGCCATCATAGAGCAAGGGTACTGAAAAACTGCAAAACTGACCTTCTTGAATACTCTTGGCACACCCTGCCTTGATCCACAAAAGCAGGGGTTGGTATTTGCTGTCATGCCTGATCCATGATCACTTCCTGTAGTGGAGAGCATTGCTTTTATCACAAATGCAGAAGGTAAACATCCTCCAGAGGTTTTTTTCCCTTGTTATAGATGACCTCTGAGCACTCTGAAGTCACAGCGCAGGTAATTAGCTGTGAGGGCTGTTACTCTGGGGACACAAAGTCCTACCTACAGTCTGGACCATTTCAGACACACGTGGAGAGCAGAAGTCTGCATTGTAGTCTAGATAGAGACTCTGGTAGAGGCTGTTGAGCAAGAATAGACAGGCACCAGGCCTGAGGTCCTTGCAAATCTTCTTACAGCTGCATTGACTAAAAGGATCCTCATGGTCAACTTGATGAGGTAATATTGGGAATTAGAACAAACAGAAGCTTGAAACAATAGGAGCAAATCAATTCAAACCAGAACTCAAGGATCTCTTAGCAGGCAACTACCCTAAAGCAGCTCATAAGAAGTATCTCATAAAAAGACAGACTAGACTTAATTAATTGTATTAACACTTCCTGAAGGAGAAGATATTCAAAGAGGTCTTTAGTAAGGCACAAAATCCAGACAAGATTCAGTGTCCATAACATGGCAATAGATCCAGTTCAAGTAAAAATAGAGATTCACTTTAAACATTAATAACAGAATAAATCATCAAATGACGCAGAGGATTTACAATGAATGAAATAAAAAAGAAAGCTATAACATAGACTGCACATAGTTTAGGAATTAGCTTGTTGGTCAGACATAAATTATCAGACTGAGGAGAAACATGACTCTTTGAGGAGCAATGAATGCACAATTTGAGACGATAAGTCTATGATCAATTGATCTCATTGATAAAGCAGTCATTTTATCACAGAGTTTGATACAAGCCAGCTGTACAGCTCTGTTAACAGAGCCCGAGCTCTTCCTTAGATGAAGCTTGAGAACTCACTGCTGTACCTGCATGGATTCTGGACTGGATCCCATCCAGCTGAGCACAGGCTAAGCACATTTTACAGGCAACAATAATGAATCCTGTAGACATATAATGTGCACAGAAGTAACTCTTCAGTACAGCAAACGGAGGTGTAAGTTGTTTTCAAAAAATCTAAACCAAAAAGAAATCTGAATTTGCCTTACTATAGCAATCTTAAGACTGGACATTATCTTGAAAGTACGTCACTGCTCAAAAAATAAATATTAAGACTGGATGAAAAATCCATTGGATAAAATTTACTCTTCCAGTTATTTGGGGATGCTAGTGGATGATCTTAATGCTTCCCTGGCCTCAAAACCTTTGAATAAGAACAAAATGACTACATTATTATCAAACATGCATTAGAGATAAAGTCATATTACAATCTTCATCCAATTGTGCCAGAAAAATACCAGCATAATATCCTTCTTATTGGCACATGCCCAAATTCAGAGAGGATTATATTTCACCAAGGATTAATTGCTCATACCAGAGAGAGAACTTCTGGGCTGCAGTAAACCTCACTCACAAATGCACGTAACTGTTACAGAGGCCAAAACAAAACCCTAGAAAAGCATAATTTGAAAGAACAGCTTTAAATTGAGCAGACAGAAGCCAGACAACTTAACAAGAGGATTAAACTGAATCCCAGGATTATCAACTGCATAATAAGAGACATGGGTGGTTGGTTTGTTTTGTTTCACTTGTTTTTCTTCCTTAGTACTGTAAATTCAGAGCATTTTAAACAAAGTGAGAATCTTTATTTTCCCTTATAAATCTCTCCTATGCTAATGGACGTTTTTCAGATGGAAGCCCTGACAATAGATTAGTATATCCTTGTCATCTGAATTCATGATGTGTGCTGTCCTACATTCCTTATTCTCCAACAGAGCTTTTTCTTCTTTATTTTCATTTATGTACACAAGCTGAAGATGAAGGAAAAATTAGTGAAAGGAAATACACAATGGAAACATGAAACTACGCTCTGTACTTTCAGGTGATGAGACAAGAAAATGAAAAAGGTGTTCGCATATTGAGAGTTAACAGAATGAGGCTGTACATTTAGTTCATGGTTGCTCAATAAGACCACTGGAGAAGCAGGAGAAAAATTGGAAAACAGCAGCAAGTTCTACTACTTGGTTTATGTAAATTCTTCAAGTTTGCTGAGGCTTTTTTGAAAGGTAGACCTAGCAGGAAATGGCACTATGGGAAGAAAGAAGAGAGGACCCACGCTGCATTCACTGAGCTACAGCTGCATTAGAAAGTCCATCTGGCAGTGACTTGCTCAAAAGATCAACCACTACCTTGTCTTTCTGAGCAAAGGGTGACCCCTCTGTCCTCACTATTACAAGGTTAATCCAGTCACAAGACTGCTGTTGACAGCATTTGTTTTCCCACCACAGATGTCACAGGAAAAGGCAACTGACTCTCAACTGCATCAAATATTAGGAATCCCACGGTATTCTTGATCCTCTTCAGAAACTGTCTTCTAGCTCAGGAATGAATGCTTCAGATCCACTCTGCTCACTTGTCAGATGGAAAATAAGAATTTTATAACCTACTCTACTCATTAGGATTCAGGGGTGCTGCTTGCAAGTGAAGTACAGTAGTGTTTTAATGTTACACTTGTGTTTCCCTGACTGTATAATGACAACATTCCATTTATACTCATAAACACAGTATTGTTACAGGATGGGAAAACTATAGATATAAAATAAAGATGCACTTTCCATATAAATATTGTACATGCTCACCCAAGGCTTCTCACAAGCTTTGCAAATTCTAAAAGACACGTATCTGAAGGTAGACGCAGCTGTCCCTCAGCCAAAGCCAGCTGACAGTCTTCAAATGTGTAGTCTGTCACTGGAACTCCCAACGCCCTTGAATAAACCAAAGAAACACTGTAAACAAGGCACTAAGAAAACTGAGCAGAATAATCACTTATTTCACAGCAAGAAATCCTGTAATAATTATGCTCTCTTTTCTGAAAAACTATAAGGAAGAGCCGGTAAAAGTAAGTTTACACAGAGAGAATGAAATATGGTACTAGATCAGTTGCAGAGCATCTGCTTTGACTGAGTCCATGAAAATATGCAAGAACACAAGGCAAAAATTAGGCAGTGCATAGACTTTCATACACAAATTTCATATAAATGAATAACTAGGGTTTCAAAATTTTTCATCTGGAACATAAATATATATTTATTAACAACTGTGACCAATATTTTAATTATTTATTTGTTAATGTGTTAGCATAATCACTCTTCAACTAAGGTTAATATTATACAAAAGGCAACATTTCTCTATAAAGAACAGCTAGAACACAACACACAAAAACACGCTCTAAGCAAACAAGTTATTTTTAAACGTATGACATAAAGGTAGAAAAAAAAATTACTCCCAAGTCTTTATACACCAAACAATTCAGTATTGGTTTTGGCTTAATTTCTAACTTAATGCTCTGTAGTAATTCTTGCACCAAATGATAACTGATGGAAATCCTGATATTGTAGCTGCCCTGCATTTGCTGTGGCAAAGTTGAGAGAAAGACAGCGTGGTGTGAAAGAGGCCTTTAAGAATTCAGTGTACAAACATAAGATGCAATTTAGAAAGCCAACATAGCTCCATATAAGCTACTCATCTGCCACATTTTTTTATTACACTTCATTTTACTTAAGGAGCATTATCTCCTTTATGCAGCATTTTCTAGTTTGATGAAATCTTCACAGAATTTTTTTGTTTAGTTACCTTCATTCTTTTCATCCACAGTTTGTCCACCTTACTGCTAACCACCTTTTTAATAAGTGAGGTTAATATATACTAATGGCAAGATTGATGCAAAACCCTGAGGCCTGCCACACTAATTTTGGCTTTGATGAAAACTCTGCATTCAATTCTATGCTTTACTGTAAGTAGTTTGAACTGAAATGACAGTCACCTCTTATGCAAACAATTTCTGCCCGTCTCGTCCTCAGAATCTCACTCCAAGGCCTTTGAATAGGAAGGTAAATAACAAAAGCCAGTTCCCTTCTGTCCACCAATTAATTATCAAACTTCAGGAATTCTGATATATAGGACATGCACTGAACCTTAAAGGTACTGATCAGCGCTTCTCTCTTCTCATGAAGGCTGAGAAAGTCAAACATTTAGGAAGAACACCTCACTAATAAATATTCAAGCTCCAAAGTACCAAATATGGTAAAAAAAAAGATAGTATTTATGCACAAAACAAGGAATTAGAAGGTAGTTATTTTGGCTGAATAGCTTCCCCCTTCCTAAGAAGGAGCAACAAAGGGAAAGGAACAAAAGGACAAAGCCAACTAAACCAAATGATTTAGGTACATAGAAAAGTCATCTTACAAGCACAGTGGTGAAAATTAGATTGCCTCATACTGGTGATCTAAGCAATTAAATCCAGTTCCTCTAAAATTTTCTCTGCTTGATCTGCTCTTGTTTCATCAATTAACCCCTCCTATGAAGTGTCCCAGCAGTATTTGTAAATCAGTAAACCACCTTAATGGAATGGACAAGATTCTTGTGATACCTTACCGTACCCCCCCAGACTTATGGTAGAATACAGATGAAGAACTCCCCCGTGCTGTGGGGATTGAAATCCATTTCCAAGTTCAACCTGACTTAGAGATCAGGTATTGGGAGCATGTCAATATTTCTGTTTTATAGTATTCCATATAATGCTGTATTATACAAGATGAAATCACTGGTATTTTACAAAATTAATTTTCCTCAAAAGAAGAGAAAGGAGTGGATGAAAGAAGCAGAGTCTATTCAGCCAGTTGAGATTACTTCCTATTTTCATCTTTTCTATTGCCAGTGCACTTGATCATCCCTATAGAAATCCATGTCAACTGTCTCCACCAAGGACATGCTACAGACAGTACGACCCAGAGCAGTTCCATAAAAGAAGGAAACAAATATCTAGCCCAGCCAAGCACATTACACCAAAATGCATGAGTCCTCCAGGCCATGCTAAATATAGCATGTAATAGAAATACAGGAACTTACAGGCGATCAGCTGAAGCACAGGGGAACTACATGCAAAAGGGGAAGCATGTTAAAAATAAGTTAGGAAACTGAAAGAGTAAACTGCTCCTCTGTTGACATATTAGGAAATCAGGAGAAGTGGTAAGTCACTTAAATTCCGAAAGGACAAAAAACATTTAGTGTCATTGAAAATTATTAAAGGTGGCAATTAAAGAGACTTTAAAGAAACAGAAGAAACTCAAGCATTCTCTCAAGGGAAACAGAGAAGATGGACAAGCTAAAACATAACTATAAGGTGGCAAGCCAAAGCAAGAAACAATAGCTTGTTAAAACCAAAAGCAAGATGCTTTTCCAACACATCAAAAGAAAGATGACTAAGAAAGATCAGGGCACTCAGCCTGGGGGGAGGGTTGAAGCCTGAATGGCTGCCAACCCAGCACCAATGCCAGATTTAAACCAGATTTAAATAACTGCTAAATAATCGTCCCCAAATATGTTGAAGGTGCCTAGCGAAAGAGAAATTTTCAAAAAGCCCAAAACAAACAACAAGAAAATCAAAACCAAAATTAAGACAGAAAATAAATTCCAAACAAAAGGCAGGGTCATTTCAGACACAGCCAAACCGCAAGGGGAAACACAACCTGCATATTTTTATAGCTTTGTGCACCCCTTATAAAAGAGGTGGTAGTTGGGCCAGAATTATATTGCTGCTATCAGTGAAGGAAAATCCCCATTACAATTAATACCTACATATATGTTCAATGTCAACACATACACAAAATAGGATTCAGAAAGACAAAAGCAGCTTCTCTTGTTCACCTGTTGTAATTTTCAAGCTGCTGGACTTAAAAAATCCCAAATGAACTTAAACAGGGTACATATACATCCAGACTTTCACAATGACAAAGATCAGAAGTGAGGAAGGAAAGAAATACTTCTGCTCAAAGCAAAGTTCAATCATAGAAACAGCCAAGGCCAGATAGAGTTCAAGGGGCTCTTGAGTTCAGAAGACAAATCACAAGCTGTATAGAGCTAGCAGCTTTAAAGGACCTTGATTTCAACTCAGAATGTTGACGAAACTGAAGCTGGGCAGCATATAAAGTTCATTATTTGTGCTAAGACTTGTGAAATTTTTAGTATCGTAGAATAAAGCCTGGCTTGTTAGAGTTCACTGTAAGGCCTCAGTACAAGTGCAACTCACAGGATTTTCTACAGAACCAGTTATCAAACCATTCTAACTTATCCTCCAGGGCAATCTTCTTCTACTTCAATTGGGGAAAAAAAAAAATAATTTCAATTTGAGATGCAAATCACAAGTACAATCCTATATTTTTAATAAACTAAAAATAAAACAACTTTTCCCATATCTTCATTGGAAAGCATTTCCCCCCCTCTTTTTTTCAAACTACCTCTGCTTTCACACTCAACTAATGTGAGTCTAGCCTTTAAAAAAGTCCAGCAGATTTTTTGGCCTGACATGAATATCTCACTTGACATACTTTGAGACTTTTTCCTTCCCTGCCCTCCCCAAGATGCTGGCTGTTTACCCATCATGACATCACACTACATGAAGTTTCAAAGTCACCAAGTCACTTGAAAATAATAAATGAAACAAAACCCCAAAAGCTTTCCTGCAAACCCAATCTGATAAACACAACAGTTATCCTTGTTATATCCTGATGTCTTACACCAAACAGCTCCCTATGTCTAACATTTGTGCCGTCATAATATGAGATGAATTATTAACTTCCTCATTTTCTGCATACCAATCCACTATGCATGCAAAATGCCAAACATAAAACAGAATGTGACTACTGGAATATTATACAAAGTGAGAGAAAATAGTACAGGCAATATTGTGACATTTGGAATCTACATTTCAAGAAAAATATTCTCAAAATGTTTTACATTGTTCATAAGCAGAACTGTGAACTAATCAAGAGAACATTCCATAGACTGCTCACAGAAAAACTCCTTTAAATCAATTATAATCTTTATTGGGTGCTGAAAACATTAGGATTCTATTCAATTTGGTATTTTTCTTCATTAGCAGATGTTCAGCAAAAAGACACACAAAACACAGTGGACAAATAACTTCAATTATTAGTAGTCATCTAATCTAGTCATCAGTAGCACACAAACTTCCTGAACCAGAGACCTTTTGTACCATTGTGTTTTAGAATCACTCATTAACCACATGTTTTTTACAGTGTATCTCAGCTCTGATGAAGTAATTTTATCTATCTGGTAAAGAATGCCACAATTTTGGACATTTTAAAGACTTACTCCATTTACTTTTAGCTGATCTACTGTTGAGTGCTTTCAATCTCTCCTGCCATGAAAAGTAAGACTTCCTTTAGTATAGTTTTTCAGAACACTGGTGATTTTCCTGACCTTCAAAACAATCCTCCACTCTTTTTCCCTATCCTTTCCCAAGCTGAAGTGCTGCCAACTTAATAGTTTTGGAAAGCCAGAGTAGATAGTCCCTTTTCTCTCCTCAGACTACTACTTTTTGACATTCTCCAAGCAAAAGAAGGTCCAGTCATGAGTCTGAAGTTCACATAAGGAATCTATTATCTCATAATGGTTTAATTTTTAGACAGAAAAAGAAGCTGCCAACAACTGTATTTCTGCCTGGTGTTGTTTGAAATTGGGTCCTGTAATTGTTGATCTTGTGGACTTGCACATCACAAATCTTCAAGGAGTAAAAAACAGAGGAGGTTCTCCTTGTGTTGTCAGCATTCAAAAACCAGTTAAAACCAGAGTGTTACAAAGTATTACTTAACATTTAAGAAATTTATTTCTTCCTTGAGAAAATAAATGTAGCAAGAAGCTGCACAGTTAACCCTGCTCTATGACTATGTTCTCCACCTGCCAC